GTGTATGGATGTACTCATCTGGTATATAGTGTATAAATTTCACTTTTCCAACATGATTGGTTTGCTGGAAATGATATTGAATAAATTAGGACTGACTGTTTATTGTGTGGTTCCAGATAATTTCCACACCCTACCATGGAGAATATTTGACAAAAGGTCCCCCACCCCTTTGGAATTTCCACTAAAAAATTTTCTATACAAACCTTGTAATGTYATATGTAGGGTATGGATTTTTCTGAAACCACACATTCAAAGAAAAAGAATATTACACTTACCTCCCTTACCATATAAATTGGATTTCATGAAGATCGACAGCAGCAGTGTTTAGAATATTGTTTTTAAAAATATCCTTTTTCTCCCAGATTCCGAAATGCTAAAAGAGGCAATAAAAGCCAACACAGAAAACCAAACTAAAATCATGGCTGCACATGACATTCCCAGTGCAAAGACAGACGACATCTTTACCAATCTGACAGTACGCGAACAAGTAGAAAAAAATGAGAACCTAATAAGTTTTTGTCATATTCCGCTATCGTCTTTCTTGTTGTGCTGGTGTTTAGAATGGCGAATTAGTCGTTCGGGAATCACAGAAAATCTACCCGCTAAAATAACTGATCTTTATAACGAGGTTGCTAAAGTCTTAATAGAAAAACTCCATGCAAATCTCAAATATTCAGAAATGTCAGAATATGCAAAGAAAATAGCTGAAGATACGCTAGATAAACTAGCTAAATTAGGTGCTAATTTGCTGAAGGAGAGTAGATATATTTTTGACGAAGAAGACATGAAAAAACTAGACCTTACCCATGACGAAATTAAAAACTTGAAAGTAAGCGGCATTCTTCATTGTGTTCCTGGAATTAGAATTACTGCTTTTGRAACAAAAGAAGAATTTAGTTTCACTCATTTGACTCTGCAGGAATATCTCTCTGCTTCTTTTTTTGAAAAAAATAACGAAATCCCAGAGGGCATGAGTGAGCAGACGTTGGTGTTCATGTGTGGACTTTTGTCGAAGAAAAAAGATGGAGAACAACTAATGAATAAACTAATCCAACAGATATCATCTAAGTATAATGTAAATAAACTGCTAATATTACAGTGTCTGTATGAGTATGGAGAGCAAGAACTAACTACAATAACCATACATGAGCTGTACAATAAATACTGTGATAGTGATGGGTTCATTGGTTTTGATAGAGTAACTGATGCTGATATGAAATACGTATCGTATTTGTTGGATATCATTCGTTCACTAAAAGAACAACATCCACAGTCATCTAGTGATTATACATTGAGCATTCATAAGTCACCTGCTTTAACCTTGTTTGGTGTTGGTGTTGTTTGTCGTTCACTTGTTTGTAATTCGTTCATAACTAAACTGGAGCTGTATCATTGTAGTTTAGATGATAAATGTGTAGAAAAAATAACCAACTCATTAGTAAACACTGGAATAACCTACCTACACCTAGAGAGGAATGATATTACAGACGAAGGAGTGAAGAGTATTTGTAATGTACTAACACAAACTAAAATAACCTATCTAGACCTAGTGTGGAGTAAAGTAACAGACGAAGGAGTGAAGAGTATTTGTAGGGTACTAACACAAACTAAAATAACCCACCTAAACCTAAATAGGAATAAAATAACACACGAAGGAGCAGAGAGTATTTGTAGTGTACTAACAGATACTAAAATAACCTACCTAAACCTAGAGTGGAATAATATCAAAGACGAAGGAGTGAGGAGTGTTTGTAGTGTACTAACACAAACTAAAATAACCCACCTAAACCTAGGGAATAATAATATTACAGATGAAGGAGCAGAGAGTATTTGTAGTGTACTAACACAAACTAAAATRACCCACCTAAACCTAGGGAAGAATAATATTACAGATGAAGGAGCAGAGAGTATTTGTAGTGTACTAACACAAACTAAAATAACCCGCCTAGACCTTCTTGGGAATAATATTACAGATGAAGGAGCAGAGAGTATTTGTAGTGTCATCATACAAGATGATTGTCATGTAAAATGGTTATCTTTATCGGGCAATAAGAAAATAACTGCAGAATGTAAGGAACGTGTAAAACAACTTGTAGAAGAACACAAACCTGGTGTTGAATTGGATATTTAGATGAATGAAAAAAAGAATTATACTGGAATATATCTGTAATTATTTGTACAATATTGTATTAGATAATAAAGTAAATATTGTAGTTTAATCTTGTTTGGACTGAATAATTTCTGTTTTTCTCAACACAAATCCCTTGAAAATCCAAGATATTT